ATCAAGTTGCTTTAAATCTCCTGTTCAATGAGCTTCTTTAGCCTCTCACTGTGAGGTGGGTTTTCCAGATCTCAAATCATTCTTGTGGCGCTTCTCTGAACCCTCTCCAATTTTTCAACATCCTTTTTCAAATATGTCTGCTAGAATGGGCCCAGGATCCAGTATTGGTCTCACCTGGGTTTCATTGTGGATTGCTCAATGAAGACCTGTTGCGTGAATTTAGATGGAAAAACACAAGGCCAAATAGACATAGGTGTTGACAGGACTACCTGTCCAACATTAAACAGTTTTAAACAAGGTTTGGGGTTTGATGTGCAGAGACCTCAGCCTGCTTAGTACCATGGTGCAAACATCCCTTTAAACCTCTTATTAAGAAACAGAAAAGAAGGAAACGTTATTTAATACTTTACATTTCAAATTAATTAAGGCTTTCATTTTAACAACAGCCCTTGTTCCCTTTCCCATTAGCAGTAAAGGGTTTTTAAAGGAAAAATCCCCTTGTTTGACAGTCTCTTAGATGGTGTTAAAATTATAATTGTTCTTTTTTGGGAAAAGGGAAGAAGTTAGTTGAAATGGGCTTGAACCATTGTTAAAATCGGATTTGTTTTGTAGAAGACAAAATAAAACAAACACACACAGAAGGGGAGAGAAAAGAACAGCAAAGATAGAAAATGCAGCTTCTGGAGCTGACTCTCACTTGCAGCCTCACTGCTGGAAAAACACAGACCCAGCATATGGACTTATCAGCCACTCCAAGACCTGGCAAACTTATACCAGCGTTGGGCTGTTTAGGGCTATGCTTTTAGTTGCCTCTTTCTGGTCACAGGCTCACAGCAGCATTGCAAAATATAAGAACAGCCATACTGGGTCAGACCAAAGGTCCATCTAGTCCAATATCCAGTCTTCCGACAGTGGCCAATGCCAGGTGCCCCAGAGGGAATGAACAGAACAGGTAATCATCAAGTGATCCATTCCCTGTCATCCAGTCCCAGCTTCTGGCAGTCTTGGCCGGCCAAGCCAGGCAAAAGGAGAGAGATAGGAAAGAGAAGAAATAAGGTAGGGAAGGAAAAGGACACAATGGAGCAGGGAGGAGCGAAAGTCTCACATCCCAGCTGGTGGTTGGGATTCAGCTGGAGCTGGTAGGGGTGGTGATGTCATCTGGGTCCCTCTGTCTGGCCCGGTCCAGTCAGGACACCTGTCTGGATCAGGATGACAAAGATCTGGGGCCCAGGAGATGGTGGGGGTGGCAGCCATGATGGTGAAACTTGCTCCAGTAGCCAGTTTGTCTCCCCAAAGTCTCTTTGTAAGACCCCCAAAGGCAGTGATGGATGGAACAGCCCATCCCTTCGTTATTTCAGCCACCAATTAGGCCTAATATTCAACACACCAACTTTGGTTAGTTACTTTCCAGCACCACATTTTTCTTGTTTACCAGGCATGATCTTAACACAGTCCTTGAGCTGGGCTAGGAGGCCTTTCTGTTTGGACTCAGTCACGCTGTCTCCTCTTCACACCTTTTCTATCAACATTTGTTGTTCTAGCTCACGGGTAGGCAACCTATGGCACGTGTGCCAAAGGCGGCACGTGAGCTGATTTTCAGTGGCACTCACACTGCCCAGGTCCTGGCCACCAGTCTGGGGGGCTCTGCATTTTAATTTAATTTTAAATGAAGCTTCTTAAATATTTTAAAAACCTTATTTACTTTACATACAACAATAGTTTAGTTATATATTATAGACTTATAGAAAGAGACCTTCTAAAAACGTTAAAATGTATTACTGGCACGCGAAACCTTAAATTAGAGTGACTAAATGAAGACTTGGCACACCACTTCAGGTTGCCGATCCCTGTTCTAGTTAATAAGCTATCACAATCAGGGTCAGCTCCAGCGTTTTTGCTGCACCAAGTGGTGAAAAAATAAATAATTAAATAAAAAAGCCGCGATCTGCTGCAGCTCTACCACCGCCGCTTCATTCTTCGGCGGCAATTCGGCGGCAGGTCCTTCCCCCTGAGAGGGACTGAGGGACCTGCCACCTAATTGCTGCCAAAGAGCCGGAGGTGCCACCCCCTTCTATGGGCCGCCTCAAGCACCTGCTTACTGCGCTGGTGCCTGGAGCCAGCCCAGATCACAATAACCTTACACTCACTCTAGGGTTGCAAACTTTGATTGGTCGTATTCCTGGAGGTTTCATTGTATGACATAATCTTCAATTAAAGATTATTTTTTAATTGCTGGAGACGCCAGGACAATCCTGGAGGGTTGGCAACTGTAACTCACTCTCTACTGGTGAGCTCACAGTGAGGGTAATTGTGTAGGCCCAATTATCACAACAGCCCTCTGCTCAAAAGGGGAAACCAGAAGTTTGGCTGCGTAAGGAACAGGAGGGATAATAATACAGAAAATACTCTAATGCTTTGATATCGCTCAGTGGTGCAGCTTCCTCTGGATACTGTGTGCAGTTCTGGGCACTCTTATCTCCAAAACAATATAGCAGCATCAGAGGGGACTCTGTGATGGATGAGGAAAATGATTCAGGGCCTGGAAAACTTTTCCTGGGAAGAGAGTTTTAAATGAAAGTGTATTTCGCTTGGAGAAGAGAGGTAGAAAAGACCAAGAGCTTAGCAAATTTCAAAAAAGGATTGGCCACTTAGATGGATAATGAGAACATCAGAGTTAGAACTGTAACATCAGAGTTAGAACTGCTGACCCTCCAAGAGTTTTGAAAGGGATTTAAATCATCGAATCGGGCCCCGCACTTGCCGCTCTTACAGACTCCTCTGCCAGCCGCCACTGAGTGAGCATGAACCTCTCAGTTAGGGCATGGTAAGTACAGTTTGTTGCGCTTAGTCAAACACTAAGGAAAACAACACTTTGTCATCCCAGTGTTCAAGATTTCAAAATGTTTATTAAAGCTAATGTTAAAATGATATAATACACAGGTTAAGGAAAGAGTGTCTGTACCTCTGGGTATAGTGTTTACATTGTCCAAAAGTACAAAGGTTGGTTTGAAAGTCATAAAATACATAATCTGCAGTATCCCAGATTAAGGTTAATAAATTCAGTGATACAGTTAGAGTATTAAGCATCCAAGTATTCAGGTACTTCACTCATGAAAAGTAGTACAGAGAGTTGGTTGTGGAAAGCAAATATAGGAATGAGTGAAGATTGTCCCTCAGTAACTGAGAATTTAGGATAGGCTGTCCCTTAGAAAACACAATCCATCAGGGAAGTATTTCAGTTTTTTCCCCGACTTTGCTTCTCATCGGCACTCCAGCTCATCTCCCCCGGTATTGCCGATGTCCGGTGATGTATTCTAGATAGACGTCCCTCGACCACCTGATGGTGTCCGATACCATGAGTTGCTGCATCAGGCAAGCATAGCACTGACTGATTCTGCATTCTCGCAACACTCATTAAAGTGTATTTTAACCCAAAACAGCCAAAATTGATCACTTTGGCAAAGTGGGTCTCTCTGCTGAACATGTAGGCAAAGTAGGTGTGTCTTAGTGTGGGACCATAATAAATCTCATTCTGTGGCAGAAGGATCTGGGAGGTGTCATCTGATTCATAAACATTTACAAACTCCTAATTCTAGTGGTGTCACGCTCTGTGGTGGTGGTGGAGGTGGGGGACGACTTACTGCCTCCCAGCTCCAGGTGCTCTGGTTGGTGGACATTTTGCTAACACAATGCCATCGGAAATGGGTCACATTGAGTATCATTGCAAAGCCCTTTCTTCCCATCACCCGAGCCATTAGCACAGCTCACACATGCCACCACTCTCAGCAGAGAGCTAAAGACTGATCAGCCTCCCAGAGTCAGTTCCACTAGGTTAAGTTGGAGGCATATGGTCTCTTCACCCACTGTGAAATGCAGCCACTTCTGGGGTGACGTATGGCAACACTAGAACATGAGGATCTTTTATCCTGCCTAGCTATAGACCTTGCTAACTGTCCGCTAATTAGTCTGAGCTATGCTTTGTGGTGGTTCCATGTAGGGCAGGTCCTTTCTCCCAGCTCTATCGGCTCTGCTGGGGGTCGTGACTCTGTTGTTTGTCCTATGCAGGGGGAGAGTCTGTGGTTTGCTCTGTCTAATGCCAGCCAGCCAGAGCAGGGTTTTGCCTGGATGGTCCTTTGGCCGAGAGGAGCTCAGGACACTTATTCCAAGATTGCAGCAGTCTCTGTGTGACGCTGGCTGTTACTGAGGACTCCTGCCAGGCCTGGGAACTCCTTCTGGATACCAGAGACACCCCCACTGCCAACTACAAGTCAATTACCTCCCTGCCCCACCCTGCTGAGGGGAGTCACTTTCCCTCGCGCAGGATGGCAGCATGGAGGGTGCACAGGTGTGACCTGCTGAAGTGCGGTGGCCAAGCTCTCTTGATGGGGTCTGGGTCTGGGATAGCTGTGCTTGGGTGAGCGGCATTGGCAGAGCTGTGTGTGAGCCCAGGAGGGGCTGCGGCAGGTACATTTTCAGAGATGTTACTGGGGGGGTAGGGGCCAGGCACTAGAATAGCAAGTGGTGCTGCAGGCTGGGACAGAAATGTATCTGGAGCTGTGTGGAGGGCAGAGGTAGGAGAAGGGGCTTCTGGATGTATCAAGAATGGTTACATCAGCCAGGCTGTGTGGAGATCCTAAGGCTGGCATAGCAGGAGGGTCTATGGGTCTACACCAGATACCGGGCACCGATATTTGTGTGGGGTGCGGAGCCAAAGCCTAGAAGAGCAGGAAGTGCTACTAGAGATCTGCTGATGGGCCTGTTTCTTATACCACTGTGATATCTGTGGTGCACTGGTATAGCTTTGGGGAGGTCCCAGGACTGAGCTAGCATGGAGTGTGGTGGGGCAGGGCTGGCATGCATTGGGAGGAGCTTGCCCAGAGCTGCTTTCACCATGCTTGACCTTCTCCTGAGCGCCAGCTCTGAGTTCCTCGGAAGCACTGAGCATTCTCCACATCACTGGAGCAAACTGAAGGGGCAGCCAATGGTGTGTCTCGTTTCAGCTGTGTGCCGTTATCCTCTGGGAATGTCAGGTGGCCACATCCCAGACGAAGACATCTCCGCCTCCAGCCAGTGGTCTGAATCCACAGCAGCCAAGTATGGAAGGTGAGGGCAACCGACGCGAGGGAGCCGTGTGCCTTTCACATGTGGGTGATTGGCTGCTTGGTATCACACTCGCCCTATGACAGGGGACAGCTGTGTCACTGATGTTCTCAATGGCCATAGCAGGATTTCACTGGTGTTCCTGTTCTGTGACTGGCCATTGCTGGGCGAGGACCCTGTGCTGAGGCCCAGGGCGTGTTCCATGCACCTGCAGTCTCACTCTGCCAGTGTCATCCTGCATGTGCAGCATACATCAATGGCTGCCGCTCTTACAGACTCCTCTGCCAGCTGCCACTGCTCCTGTGCCCTGGGCCCAGCACAGGACAAGGCAGGCTCTGCTGCAGCTGTGGGGAGGTGGAGAGCACTTCCCAGAAGCAGGCAGTGGGGCCTTGGTTCCATGGCAGCTGTGGGGCTGGCCCAAGACAGTGTTCCTGGAATGTGTTCCTGGGGGCAGTGTTGTGGAGCCATGGCTAGGCTTGCATGGGGCCAGTCCCTGCAGCACCTGCCAGGTGCCAGGGTGGCTGACAGCTTGGTCACTGGCTGAGGCTCCTCCAAATGCAGGCTGAGGGCATGTTCATCAGCAAGAGAGAAGCTGCTGCTCTCCGACCCTAGCAGTCTCCTGCCAGGTCCCAGAGTGAGGAAGAGTCCAGCCAGCTGCAAAGGGGAGCAGAGCGGAGATGAGAGCACAAGGAACGTACCAAGTGGACAGTGGGGCTGGAGACCTGGGCTCAGACTTGGGGATTCTTGGGGTGAAAGGGACATGCCGTGTGTCAGAAGACAGGGCAGATTTGGGGAAGAGTTTTGTGGTGAAAGACATGCAGCCATGAGCTTTCTAACCCAGACCTTTCCACAGGAAACTAGACCCAATGGGGTGTGTAATGCCTGCAGACCCAGGAAGGGCACATGTCAAGGGGCCTCCCTGCAGCCAGCATTAGCCATCACAGCGCCCTCTGTGAGCTCCCTCCTTCACTCTGGGCTCAGTAAAGGATGCGGCAAGCATGCGTGTGTTCATTTGTGAATGCATGCTGGGGAGAGTTCCTTGTGCTAGGAACTCTGTCATGAACGTTCCCTCAGCTGGAGCAGTGACTCTGAGCCAGCAAGGAGCAGTTGCTGATGGGTGACGCTCACCCCGGGTCTCCTCTCCTCCCACCCATGTTCATCTTAACTCCTGCAGGCAGGGTGAGATAAACCCACCCTGAACAGCCCCATTGGTCTCACTTTCTCTGCTGGCCCAGCCCACTCCCCGGAAATTGCCCAAGTGTGAGAGGGCACTGCAAGAGAGATGCTACACCCAGCAGGTGCCCAGCAGAGGCTGCCCCAAGGCTGGGGTTTGACCCTATGGCTGCCTCTCGCTCTGCATTGGGGAGTTGGTGGCAGGACACTGTCTACAGTCTCCCTGCTCTTCCTCTCCTCCTTCCTGTGCTACTGACTGCTCTTCCTCACCCGGTGCTGAGGAAAAGTCAGGCATCATCTCCAGTGATTGGAGGGAGATGTTTTCTCCTGGCCCCTCCCGTCTCACCTCTCCATCTGGGGCTCTGCCCTGCCACCTTAGTTACCCGACAGCTTCTCACGTGGCAGGCCCTGCAAGTTGTGTTTCTGCCTCTAATGCCTGGCCCCTGACCCAGCTGTGGGGGCTCCTGTAGGGCTCGAAGCAGGGGCCAGTTTTGCATACACACCATGCTGCTATTGAAGGTCCAGCCCCACGTCAGAGGCAGTGAGGAAGACTCAACATGCCCATGATGACACCCTCCGGTTCCTGCCATATACTATCCTGGTCCCGTCTGCCTGACCCAGTGCAGTCCCACATGCTTCCTGTCCTCCCGCACTTCGGGTAGCTAGTGCCACCAACAGGTGCCTACAAGTGACGACTGGTGAGAGCAGGGACTGCAGTTGTGCCCCCTGGTGAGCAGGATCTGGGGGCAGTGATGCGGTATTCCCCTCCCCTGGGCCCACAGAGCCCCAGGGCCCACACTGGCCCTCAGGCCTGATTCTGGTGGGATTTCTGATGGGTCAGATACAGAACCTGCCCCAGGATCAAATCAGGGGAGCACACGATTTGTGAGTGGGGAGGCAAGGAAACACCCCCACACGACAGCAGGCGAGGAGATGTATGGGTCATGCTCAGAAACGGCACCCAGCTTCAGCACTCCAGATCCAGTGTGAGCTGCTGGGGGAACACGAGATGGCCCGTGGGAGGGAGAAATTCTGATTATGCTGCTCCTTGCCCAGCTCCACCCTGGCCATGGGACTGGTGTCCCTATAGGGGCCCAAGGCCGAAGCTCAGAACTCAAAGGGGGTGGGGGAACACTCCTCCAGTATTTTATAATGAGACAACTGAGACCTCAAGGAGAGCCCTCCCCACTGCAGGGCCCCAAATCTATGAATCCACCCCCATATGCCAGCTCCTTGTGAGGGGAAGGACAGTCCCTCCTGGTGCTGCAGGTGAGTTAAGGGTTGGAGGCTGAGGAGCTGGGACTTTCCTGCTCTATTACTGCTGGTTAGAAGAGTCCTGGTCAGTGCTAGGCCAGCCCAGGGGCAGGTAGGGTGGGCTGTAGGGAAGGCAGGGTGGGGTCTGACGCCTGGGGAGCAGGGTGCCATGATAGGTTCTCACAGGAAGTCTTTTTGGAAGTGACTCTCTCTCCTCCTCTGCACTCCTACCCCACCCTGCTCTGCCCCAGGCTTGATTCAGAAGAGGGCGATGGGGCTTGGTGTCCGGAGATCCCCGTTGAGCCAGATGACCTCAAGGAGTTCCTTCAGATTGACCTGCACGCCCTGCACTTTATCACCCTGGTGGGGACCCAGGGGCGACACGCTGGTGGCCACGGCAATGAGTTTGCACCAATGTACAAGATCAATTATAGCCGGGATGGCACCCGGTGGATTTCCTGGAGGAACCGGCATGGGAAGCAAGTAAGGAGGTGGGGAGGCTAATAAATCTTCCCTGCTAGGATCCCACTGCCCTGGAGATGGGAAGGGGGGCCCTACATGTGGGATGCGCCACCACGCTCAGACTGGCACCCTAACCAAGTGTTGCTGCACTGGTGTGTACTGCAAATCCAGTACCAGGTGGGCCAGGAGTCTCTACAGCTGCCACCTCGAGTTACAGGCATTCGGGGCTGGAGCAGTGCCTGGCCGACGAGCAGAACACCATCCCCTAGGACAGAGAATGCCCTTGCCTGACTAGGGTACTGGCAATGAAGGGTGTCAGCAATCCGTTTCTGGGGCAGTTGGGGCTTGGTCACTGGAGTATTGGCAAATGTCAGTGAAGATGCTGATGGTACCTGCCATGCAGTGCCCAGGGAGGTGTGAGTCGAAGTGCAGGCTTTACCCTCCATGCCCATTCATGCCAATCCACCTCTCCCACCTGCCCCAATGCAATGTAGACAGGAGATGAACATTGGCACCATCCAGGCTGCCACAGCTGTAGTGCTGGATGGAAGTTCACTGCAGGGGGTACAAGCATATCTACTGCCATGCCCTAGGCCCCTAACAATGGCAAAGCCCCATGCACCGGTGGGATTGTGCCTACCACACAGATGCCGAGACTGATGCAAAAGCGGTGAGCTCCCTGCCCCCGGTGGTGGGGAAGAGCTGTGTGGTGGTGGCAGGGTACGGTGGGGTGCAGCAGCCATGAGCCACTCGGAGGCCTGTAGGGTATGTGAGCTGCCCCCTGTCTCTCCCAGCTGCACAGCATCAGCACCCTTTGCCAGCTAGTGTCTGTCGTCCTCAGGTGCTGGATGGAAACACCAACCCTTATGACATTGTCCTCAAGGACCTGGAGCCTCCCATCATAGCTCGCTTCATACGCTTCATTCCCATCACCGATCACTCCATGAATGTCTGCCTGCGAGTGGAGCTCTATGGCTGCACGTGGCTAGGTGAGCAGGGGCTCTGCAAGGGCACCAGTCACACCGATTTCCAGTGCCATGGATCAGGGGCCCAGATGAGCTGCAGGTACAAGGGCTCTTACTGTGGCAGCGGGACCCTGTGTTGTGTTTGGGGGTCTGACATAACACACCACATGCGTTACCGGAGTGTGAAATGCATCTGTCTGCATGGATCTCTAGGCAGTGGGGGCATGCAAGGGGCTCTGGCTGGCAATGGGGCTTGGAAGGGGAACACTCACCAGCAGTGCTGCCTCCTGGTCAGGCTAGGGTGTGGCAAGTTGTCTTCCTCCCGGGACTTCCCCTTTCTCACAGTAAATCCTCTGTTTGGGGGTCTGTCCTATTAGCGACTCAGCCCTCTGGCTAGGTCACATGTTCGAATCCAATGATATGGAAATCTTCAGAAGTCAGCAAGGACTTCAGGACTTCCCCCATGGGTTGGGGTTTTAGGGTCTGGACCCTTGGACCTTCCGGGTCTCCCAACTAGATTCCCCACCAAGGGACAGACTTCTGTCATTGTCCCCTCTTTAGTGGCTGGTAGAGGATTCAGGGCCCAATGGTAGGCAGCTGAGATCGGCATCTTGGGGTGCTATGCGGCTGCCTCCCTGAATCACTTCCTACCAGTGTCCCCTCTCCGCACAGGGTAAAATAAAGAACCAAACACACAATTAAAGTCTGTGACTTTCAGAAGCCCCCAGTCCCCCGCTTGCAGGCTTGGGCAGGTCAGTATCCAAGCCTCAGGCTGCAAGCTTTCCTGGGAGGCGCCTTCCCAGGAGCTTGGACCACGGGTCTTCTCCTGTCCACTGCCTGCCCCCTACTTAGCTGCTCTGCTTCCCCTTTTAAGCCCCTAGTCCAGCTTCTGCCAGCTCTTTTATCTCTTGTTCTCCAGTGTGGGGTTTATACACCCTGACACAGGCCGTGGCTGGCAACAGGATTGTGTGAGGGGCTTTGGCAGCAATGGAAGCTTGTGAGGGCTCAAGACTGGAAATGGGGGTTTGCTTGGGGCTGTGTCAGCAATGGGGGGGTTGCAAGTGGCTGTGCCTGGCAAAGGGGGGTGGTGAGAGGACATGGCAGCAATGGAGGTTTGCAAGAGGCCATGTCTGGCAACGTGGGTGTGCAATGGTCCATGGCTGGCAATGGGGTTTGCTAGGGGCCGTTTCAGTAATGTGGGTTTGCGAGAAGCTGTGGCTGGCAATGGAGGTTTTTGAGGGGCTGGAGCTGTATGAGGGGCCATAGTTGGCAATGATGTGTGCAAGGAGCTGTGGCTGGCTACTGGGGTTTGCGAGGAAAAGTGGCAGCAATGGGGTAGTGCAAAGGGCCATAGCAACAATGAGCGTGTGCAAAGGGATGTGTCTGGCAGTGTGGATTTGTGAGGGGCTGTGGGAGTAATTCAGATGTGTGGCTCACAGTGGGGGTGTGAGAGGGGCTCTGGTGGGTAATGGGGTTGGTGAGGATCCGAGGCAGCATTGAGGATTTGCAAGGAGCCATGGCACTAATGGGCCTGTGTGAGGGGCCATGGCTTGCAATGTGATTGTGGCAAGCGGGGTTTACGAGGGAATGGGGCAGCAATGGTGTGGGGGCTCATGACTGGAAATGAGGGTTTGCTAGGGATGTGGCAGCAGTAGGGGCGTGTGAAGGGCCCTGTCTAGGAATGGAGGTTTGTGAGAGGCCATGGCCATAATGGGAGTTTGTAAGAGGCCGTGGCTGGCAGTGGAGTTTGCAAGGGGCCAGGCCTGGCCATGGAGGTGTATGAGGGGCCTTGGCTGCCAATGGGAGTTTGTAAGGCCCCATGGCATCAGTGCCCAGGTTTGTGAGGGTCCATGGCTTTCAATGGGGGGCTGCTAGGGGTTGTGGTTGGTCGTGGGGATTGGGATGAGGCCGGCTGGCAATGGGGAATTGTGAGAGGCCATGAGAGTGATGGTTGTTTGTGAGGGATCATGGCTCACAGTGGAGGTTCGCGAGGGGCCATTGGTGGCAGTGAGGAGGTGGCAGCAGTGGAGGTTTGATAGAGGATATGGCTGACAGTGGGGCGGGGGAAGGTGACAGGCTGTGGCTGGCAGTGGGAATGTGGTAAGGTCCATGGCTAGCAATGGGAGTTTGCGAGAGGACGTGGCAGCAATGGTTGTGTGTGAGGTGATGTGACTGGCAATGGGGGGGTTGCATCTTCTTGGCCTACATCCATATCTCTGCTGGCATGATAGTTTCACTGCCCTATTTGTCAGCCTGGCCAGTTCTCCCTCCAGCCATTCTCCCCCATCTATTTTGTGTGAAACTCATAGAGCGGAGCCCAGTCTGTTTCTGAGCTCATCTCTGGTCTGTGCTGCAATCAAGAGCCTCTTGGCCTAGGTGGATGTTGCATTGTGCTCTCCTTTTTGTTTATCTGGGAGAGCTGCTGCAAACCTGGCTGGGGGGGGATGCTTGTTTGGGCCCACACTAATTGCACACCAATTGCTCTGGCAGATGGGCTGGTTTCCTACAATGCGCCTGCTGGACAGCAGTTCGTCCTTCCCAGCGGCACAGTCATTTACCTCAACGATTCTGTGTATGACGGCGCTTTTGGCTACAGGTAAGTTCTCGGAGAGCTCCTTGCCTGGGAAGGTGGGGGAGGGGTTTTACGGGCAAGTCAGGACTTGGCAATGACAAGCTGCCAATGTTCTACCAAGGGCTCCACAACAATGGCCCTCCAGTGCTGTCCTGTGATAAGCTGTTTGGTAGAAACGTGGTTCAAAGGTCACCTGTTTGAGTCGTTTGACTTGTCAGCTCCTCCGGTTCTGTACATCACCGAGCACATCATCAGTACTCAACGAACTAACTAATAGCAACCCCACTCCAGCGGGGATTGTGCCCCTGCAGGCAGGAGGGCCGGGGATGTGCTCATTTGCCCATTTAAACAAGAACATGTTTTCCTTGCCATAAGCACAGAAGGAAGGAGCCACTTGGCCAACAAAGGCGCAAGTTGCTGCCTCTTGCTGAGAAAATAGCCAATTATTCTGGAGATTATAAGTTCAGCCCAGGTCATTTGACGTGCTGGGAGGCTGTGGAAAGCCCCTGGAAGGGGTGTTGGGGGCTCTTAGAGCCCCCTGTGTGACTGAGGCAGCCCACTGAGATCTCTCAGATGTGGAGTTAATAGTTGTTTCCCACAGTATGGGGTCCCTTAAGGTCAAGCAGCTCCTGTGATTCCTCCTGGGAGTTTACTCCACATACCAAAGGATGCTTGTCACCTCATAGCCCTCATCGGGTCACAAAGTCAGTGTAATTCTTGAAATGGGCTCTTTGCGGCCCCAACCAATACTTTGGTGCTCCCTTCTCTAAGGCCAAGACACCAGTGCCATCAATATCCATGCTAATGAGAACCCACTCCTGCAAACAACAGGGCGCGCAGTCCAGTGCTTAGCGGCAACCCTACAATAACAGAACCACCCCAAATCCACTAGCAGTGGGATTTGTGGACTGATTGGGAGTAGCAAGTCCCTTGAAAATCAGGTCCTCTTTATTTAGGGGCCTAACTTTAGACTTCCAGGTTTGAACATTTTAGTCTGTCTGTCTGTCCCACTCTTCTTGCCTCCCTCTGTCCATCCAGGTTCTTTAACGGCACACAAATGAGCATGTGAGGCCAAGTACTCCTAAGCACCTCTGCTAAACCACTGAAGGTTGCCCAGGGCTGCAGAGCCTCTGTGTTATTAAAACAGGCCGTAATGGCTCTCAGGGGACTCAGTGAGGAAAGAGAGTTAGTTTCATGATTTTAAGAAGCTATAATGAAAAAGTCCTTCAGTTTTTTAAAGCATTTATGAAAAATGCCCACCCATTGTACACTCCCCAGTGCTGGTGGGATGGGGGGACAGGTGGGAGGCAGAGAGCGGGAAGATTTTTGTGTGGACTTCCAAAAAGATTCACGCCCCCTTGTATCTTTCCATGGTGTCTACAGCATGACTGAGGGACTGGGCCAGCTGACGGACGGTGTTTCTGGCCTGGATGACTTCACACAGACCCATGAGTACCACATGTGGCCGGGCTATGACTACGTGGGGTGGCGCAATGAGAGCGCTGCTGGGGGCTACATTGAAATCACGTTTGAATTTGATCGGATCAGAAACTTCACCACCATGAAGGTCTGTAGCTCCAGGGGCACCTTTCTTGGTAACATCAATGAGGCTTGTTGTGGCCTTGTCTCTCAGAACCATGTGCCCGGCTGCAGAAGGCACGTTCTAGAAAGGGACTAGGGCTCTGATTTTGTCATGTGCCTCGCAAAATGCCAATGCAAGGCCTTAAGGTCTAGGACACAGTCTGCCCTGCATCGGGGGGAGAGGGGGGGAGAAGGGAGGGGGGCTGTGTCAGGAATAGTGAACATGAGTGATGCAAAGCTACACTGCCCTCTCAGCTGCACCATGCCTCCTCAGCCCTAGTCACCAGCTCCTGCTCTGCTCAGCCCGCTGCACTGCCCCACTTACTATCCCTGCCTGTGGGTGACTAATGGGCCACTTCTATCTGTAATCACTATGTTTCTATGACCTGTCAGCTAGTGACTGGAATGAGACCAAAGACTCACTCCATTTGTGACCTCAGACAGTGCCAAGTTTCCTATGATGAAATGCTAAGGAAATGTCCCCCAGCCCCTCCTCCTGGGGCCCCTTGACAAGTTAGGATTCTAGGGTGAGGGTGCCACCAAGGGCAGGGCGCGATGAGCACAGTGTTCCCTGTGTGACTATCCCAGGGTCTCCGATTCCTATGGAGTTGCCCTGGGCCGTGGGTGCTGCCAGCCTGTGCTGGTGTCGAGCTCACCTGGGACTCTGTTGCTGCCATGCAGGTGCACTGCAACAACATGTTTTCCAAGGGGGTGAAGATCTTCAAGGAAGTTCAGTGCTATTTCCGCTCCGATGCCAATGAGTGGGAGCCCAACACCATCTCCTCGGTGCTGGTGCTGGATGACGTCAACCCCAGTGCGCGGTTCGTCACTGTGCCCTTGCTTCATCGCATGGCCAGCGCCATCAAGTGCCAGTATTACTTTGCCGACACCTGGATGATGTTCAGTGAGATCACATTCCAGTCAGGTACTGGCAAAGGGCGGGAGGATGGGGTCCTGGAAGCTACAGCATCCATGTCAGGGAGCAAGGGAGGCATAGGTCCAGGGAGTGCCAAGCAATGTGCCATTTGTTCTGGAGCATAGAAATGTAGGAACTGCCAGACTGGATCACACCTCAGGTGCTTCTAACCTAGTCTCCTATACCTAACAGCAATAGCTGCTGCAAGAAAAGGTATGAGAACCCTGTAGTGGTTGATGTGGGATAATCTGCATCCACATTAGGGCTCATCATGGTCACTGACAGACAGGCTTAAGCCCAGAAGCAGGAGGTTCAGTGTCCCTTCCCAAATGTTTATCATTAATTATGGTAACTCTGGATATTTTTGATAGCCATATAAATATCTGGTCCCTTTTTAAAATCTTGTTAAGTTCTTGGCCCCAGTGATTTCCTGTGGCAGTGAGTTCCACAGTCTAATCACGTGTTGTATGTGGGGAAAAAGTACTTCCTTTTATTGGCTTGGAATTTCTCATCTTTCAGTTCCATGGAATGTCCACTTGTTCCTGTGTTACAAGGCAGTGAGAAGAGTAGTTACCTATTTACCCATGGAAAGCGGGTACTGGGGCTACTGTGGTACCAGTAGCTATAGCATTCATCCTGTGGAGGAGCAGGGTTTTGAGAGGAGAGCAGCAGCGTGCAATGGGAACGTTCTCCTGCACACTGCTCCTAATGGTGGATTTGTGCTTGGAGGCTTTAGAATTTAGACTTGGCTGAGTTGTGGTAACCTGGGCTGGAGAGGGCTAGGAACAAGGTAGAGCTGAGTAGGTGCTCTGTGACATGAATTAAGTGCCACAGAGGAACAATCCATTCTGCCCTCACAACAGCTGTCACAGGCATGTCAGTGTCACTGACTCGTCCTCAATTCTGTTTCTTAGATGCAGCCATGTACAACAACTCCGGAGCCCCTCCTGAGTCGCCCGTAGCACCCACCACTTACGGTATGTGCGATGCAGTACGTGGACACTCTGTGTGCTCAAGAGCCTGGTCCCCATCAGGTCTGCAGAGGTGGCACATTCCTGCAAGTAAGGACTGGCCACTGGATAAAATGCAGCCCTCATATAGACCCCCCGAAACACATGCCACTCTATTAGAATAAGGGCACCAGAAACCACCTCCAGTCTGAGAGTAACAGCTGCTGCAGTACCCAGAGATTACTCCAATATGGCAAAATGCTACTTCATGATGACATGGGCATAGAAACACCTCTCACGTGATTATGTGGCCTGTGAGTGCCTGCTGTCAATCTAGATGTCAATCTGATTTAGTTGGGGATTGGTCCTGCTTTGAGGAGGGGGTTGGACTAGATGACCTCCTGAGGTCCCTTCCAACCCTGATATTCTGTGATTCTATGTGTATGATGTCATCCATTGCCATGGGATTGAAATGCCTTCCATGGCCAGGGCCCCATGTAGTCCATAAGTCCACAGATGCAAAATGTGTAGTGGAACGAGCCTCATACTGTGGACCAGTCCCCCTAAGACTAAGATTCAGTGAAAAAAAAGTTTTCATCCCTAATGGTTGTGAAGGTAACCTTCCAGGCCCAAACCAAGCAATGTCCTCCTGAGTCTGCAGGCATCCTGAAACAATAGCTTGGAGAGGTGTGAACTGCCCTAGTCACTTCAATGGGGTTTTAACACAACATCGTTTACTCTTTCATGGCTGATCATTTCATCAGAACCATCCAGCTTGTTTCACAGTGACAAATTGTTTAAACCTCCAGCTAGAGCTGATTGGAAATTTTCCAAAGGGCTCATTTTCTATCAGAACTTTTCAATTTTAAGGAAATTTCATTTAGAAAAATAATGTTTAGAAAATTTTCAACATTTTAATTTCAAAATGAATTATTTAAAATGTTTATAATACATGATATTATATATTATATCATATTAATTAAAATAGGAAATACCAATTACCAAAAAATTACAAAAACAATAGCCATTTTATAATATAAATTATATCACACATTGTGAGAGAGCAAAGGTGGGTGAGGTAATATCTGTTATTGGACCAACTTCTGAAGAGCCTACTGTTCGGTCTAGGCCAAGTAAGATCTAAGTTGGTCCAATTAAAAGATATTCTTCTTCAAGTGATGGTCTCTGTATGTATTCCAAACGTGGGTGCACATGTGCTCCATGCACTGGAATTGGAAGAACAACAAGAAGTCTGGTGGCACCTTAAAGACTAACAGATTTATTTGGGCATAAGCTTTCGTGAGTAAAAA